AACTCCTTGCTACTGCAGTAATAAACATGGGTGTGCATATATCTGCTTGGGTGGCAGTTATGTTTTCAGAAAAAGAGTTTTAACCTTGCTGCTTCTTGTTGTTAGGTGCCATCGAGTGGATGTCAACTCATTGTGACCCTATGGACCAGAAATCAAAACGTTGACTGACCCTGTGCCAGCCTCCCAGTCTCTGCTGTGCTCAAGCCCACTGTTGCAGTCATTGTTTCAACCCATTGTCATCCTCGTGCCTTCCATCCTGAGTGGCTAATAATGTCCCAGCACTATATCAAACCATGCTCCACTGTTATTAATACAGTTTTCATGGGCCAACTATTTCAGAAGCGGATGGGCAGCCCTGCTTCTTGGTTTGTCTTATTCTAGAAGCACTGTTGGAACCTCTCCACCATAGGTGGAGACTGACGATGACTCTGCTGGTATCTAGCGTCATAGCAAGACGCAAGGCACAGAGCGAGGCAAACCAAGAGATGAGTGCTCTTTTCTTGATCTGTTGCCAAAGACCTCTTTAAAGTGGTAAACAGGAGAGATGTCAACTTAGACACTAGATATTGCATGGTATTTCAGTTGTTCTATATGCATGTGAAAGCAAGACAATGAATAAGAAAGACCAAAGAAGAATTGATACTTTTGAATTGCCAGGTTGGCAAAGAATATTGACTAGCCCCTGGACTGTCAAAAGAACAAATAGGTCAAGTCTGTCTTGGAGGAGGAAGGACTAGAGGCAGGGATGGTGAGACTTCGACTCACATACACTGGGTACATTTTTGGGAGGGACCAGTCCTCGAAGTAGGGCTTCATGCTTGGAAAAGTAGAAAATCTACATAAAAAGAGGAAGCTTCTCAAAAAAGACTGACTGATGCAGTGACTGCAACAGTGGCATGGCAGAGGCTGTGGTGATGGCACGAGGCTGGACAGTGTTCTGGTCTGCTGTACATGAGGGCATCATGGGACAGGGACGACATGATGGTCCCTGACAATTAACAAGACAGTCAGTAATCTGAAACATATCATTTGATAGTGTTTTGAAGATTTTTTTTAGTTGGTTGATTGGTTTGGGTCATAGCTGAGTCCCAGGGTCAGGAGAAATAGTAAAGGGAATTAGGATTAAGATAGAAGGGAAAAGGGGGCAGGAAGTACTGACTTCATCACACAGTCATGGATGTGCTGACCGCTCAGAATGTGCTAATAAGTGTCTTCGTTTTCAAGGGTCAACTTCCGTGAGCGATGAACATGTCCTACTGTTTATGTAATTTGGAGTGATAATAATTTGAAACTTTTTAAAAAGTTGAACGTGTTTACTCCTTTTGATATTGCTCAAATCAAATGGTGGCTTGCCATTTGTAATTCAGACAGCTGACTAAAGGGACACGTGTGTTTCGTCTGAAAGGAGAAATTATTGAATTGCTGGGAGTTCAGGAGTTTAATTTTCCATCATTTCCAAAATCTGGAGGCTTGTCCGAGCTCCTCTTAGTGACTTGTCCACACATTTCACCTCTGAAGGACCCATCTCCTCTAATGCAAACCAGATCTGCTCTCAGTCATTTTCACATCTTTAAATGCATTCTCCTCTCCCCTCCACAACTAGCCTCCTTTGATAAAAGTAGATAACCTTTATGCTACTCAGTGGTGTGTTTAAATGTCCCAACTGCTTTTACCTTGAAAAGCCCTTGTGTATGGCAACTTTGGGTCCCAGCTTGGTGCAAACAAGTTGTGCTCGGCTTCTAGCTCAAGGTCTGGTGGTTCAAAACCACCTAGAGGCACCACAGAGAAAAGACCAGGCGGTCTGCTTTCCTGAAGACTATAGTCAAGGAAGCCTTCTGGAGCTCTGGTCTACTCTTTAGCACAGGGGGCACTCAAAAGCAATGTGGTTTGTGTGTGTGTATGTATGTATGTATGTATGTATGTATTTATTTTAGGGTATCCTTCCTTAAGAGAAGACTCTCTGGTGGTGTGGTTTAATGTGGCACTGCTACCCGAAAGGCTGAGTGTCCTGATCAGGCAGTTGGAATCCATGAGCAGCTCTGAGTGACATGGATAGGCAGTACCCTTCATTTAAGACTTGCCGCCTCCGAAACCCACTGGAGGGTCACTCTGCATCAAAACTGACTGAATGTCAGCGAGTTTGAGTGTGGAGTTCTTTTCTAAGTTATCAAAGATGAAAGTCATGTGAAAGCAAAGTGAATGAAGGATCCATTTAAGGAATGGGTCCCTGTCTGGATCTAAGTCAGTGACATTCTGGATTTTGATGAAAAGATCAAGACCAAAGTAGTACAGGTCAACCTATTCCTTCCTGTATGAGCATTCAATTAAAATTCATGAGCTCTTGGGACTCCAATTATGTTGGTTTTGTAGGGTTGGGTTGGGTTGCTTTTTTTTTTTTTCCTCTTCATACTTTGGTGTACCCTTTCAGAGTTCCCAGTACAGAGATAAGAACTTCAGGCTTTCCTTAGAAATTATTTTCTTTCCTTTAAAAATGGCTTTTGTTATTTTTCCATGAGTATTAGTGCCAAGATGTGTTTTGCATTCCCCTGATAGCAGTAATAAATGATCAGTAATAAAACCCAGATGATAGCCCTATGATTTATTTAAGGTGTTGGCAACCTCCAAATTATGAACAGCAGCTCAGTTACTTTGACAATTTATAACTATGTAGCTTGAGATGCAGTTGGGCTGTGAGAATGACCGTCAGGTCATGCATTTGCTTTGAGAGCATTTAGCATAAATGACACATTACCTGAAAAATGACCTGAACAGAAACCAAGCTTGTGCACAATTTAACCTGATTCAGTCATGTGCAGCTGTTTGGTTTGTTTTTTTTTTTTTTAGTAGATACCCCAATTTACAGTTCTTAGGTCAATGGACAGATAAAACAATCAACTGTTACACTATTATCAGTTTGATGTTTTAAAAAAGAAACCAAAACAAAACAATTAACCCCAACTAGTGTATTTTGGCTTGAACTTTTACACGTCAATACATTAACAACATTGCCTCTAGCTTTAATGGGATGCTTTGTTGTATGTCTGCTGCACAGTGTTTAATTTAATTGAGTGCAATACTTGGCCAAAAGAGAGCTTGGGTAGTGTGGTCCATAGGGATTTCTGCTGCCTAAGCCTTGCGCCTCCCTGGCAGTTAGTCCATCGGCAGTGCTGCAAGAGAAACGTGGGCAGTTTCCTCAGGTTACGACTTGCAGCCAGCCTTCCAAAAGCCCACTGGAGGGTCAGAGATGAGTCAGTTCTAACACAACAGCAGTGGCTTGGTGGTTTTGACACTCTATGAGCTTGATTGACCCAGTGCCCACCAAGACAGACTTGAGCACTGCAGAGATTGTAAGCATGGTGCGGGATAGGGAAAGATCCTGTTCCCAGAGTCACTGGGAATTATCATCAACTCAGCAGCACCTGACAACAACAGCTGTGGAGAGAGACGATGGAGAAGCTCAGGAGCATCAGTCACAACAAGACCAGGGGTCCATTGCAGAACGGTCCCTCGAAACTGAAGAAAATGAAAACAAGTCCGTGAGGGCCAAAGGACAACGTGGAGTGCATCTCACTTGAATTTAGAGAATGCCTCCAGAATAGATGGGACACATCGAACATCAAGGGCCTAAGAGCAGTAGAATTGTGGAATGATAGCAAGAACATTATGCAGAAAGGAGACAAACGGTTGCTTAAAAATAAATTTATAAAAAAGGAGAGACCACAATCCCTGTCAGAAGAGACTCTGCTGCGTGTTCTTTAACGTAGAAATGGTGAGGTAAAGGGGCTGAAATGACAATTTCAAGAAGTGGCTCACTAAGTTGAAGTAAAATATTATAATGGACTGTGGAAGGACCTGGAGGTAGAAAACCCAAAGGGAAGGGCATGCTTGGCATTTCTCAAGTGGAAAGAATTGAAGGGGAGGGAAAAAATCAAAACTCAATGATAAGTCGCAGTACCAAATGGCACAGGCAGCAACACAAAGAAAATGGCAAGCGTATGCAGAATCCCCGTACCCCACACAGTACTACGCTCAGCGTTCAACAACTTCAGAGATAGCATGAAATAAAACTCAGATGACATCCAAAGAAGTACAGGCTTCACTGCAGGCATAAATCAAGGATTCAGGAACTGACCAAGATGTTGGACAACTGAGATGTTTCAATAGAGGGACAGAATGCAGGACGCACTCCCTGGTCTAGGCCCAGAAATGGGGAAGTCAGCTACCAAGTGTGATGTGACCTATGCCATTCAGTATATTAAAGACACTGACTAGAAGACAGCCATATTCATGCCCACTCCAAAGGAGCAGGATCTAACAGAATGCCAGAATTACAGAACAGTATCATCACTGTTGTTCTTGGTGTTGTTAGGGGCCGGCGAGTCGAGCTCAACTCACAGCGACCCTATGAACAAAAGATCTGACCCTTGTTCTGTCCTGCACCATCCTCGCACTTCCTGACACACGAGAGCCCATTGCGGCAGTCACCACGTCATTCCACCTGGTTGAGGGGCGGCCTCTCAGCCCTCCACCTTTCCCAGCATCACTACATGCAAGTGAAAGTTCGCAGCTGCTCATTTAATATTGGTTGCAGCAGTACATCGACAAGGAACTGCCAGAAATTTAAGCCAGATTCAGAAGAGAACATGGAACCAAGGATATCGCTTCTGATGTCAGATGCATCTTGACTGTGTTTTATGGTCTACGCCAAGTCATTCCGTTGTGGGACTGATGCCACCACCAACGTTGCCTCTCTGGTCCGTAGTGAGGATTAACATACATGTGACTAAACGTTGACCGCATCAACACTTTCACATGTACAATTCAGGGACATTAATTACCACCACCGTTATTATCTACTTCCAAATTCTCACAGGCTTTCTGTGAGGACGCATGCCTCTAAATCTCTACTGATGCATTTATCTAGAGGCCAACCCATTTCCCCCATAATCTAAAACCCAATTAAAGCAATTATTTATAGAGTAAAGAATTCTGCTGCTTACCTTGTTCTCCACCTGGACACTGTCGCCCTTTCCCAGCACTGCTGTATGGTGAGGTTCTATTTTTTGTTGGGCGTCATCAGGTCCTACGAAAAAGATGATCCAGCACACTTATCTTCATGTGGTTGTATATTTGATTAACTGCATTGCTATTGTTAGTTGCATTGGAGTGAGCCCCCCTATTCACTCGTTTTCATACACAGCAGAACTAGTCACTGCCTGTTCCTGCACCATCCCCATCACTGGCTGGAGATCAGACTGTTGAAATCCATAGGGTTGCATTGGGTCATTTCTAGAAGAGCTTGCCAGGTCTTTCTTCGTACTCTATCTTCAGCTGGAAAAGCTCCACTGAAACATGGTCTGTATCATAGCAACATGTAGAAAGAAAAACCTGCCCCATATTATTGCAACTTCAGAAATAAGGCGCTCTGGCATTTCACCACCTCTGGTGGAGCTCTGGTGGCTCAGTGGTAAGGAGCTGCAGTGCCAACTCAAAGGCACACAGTTGTAATCCACCACCTGCTTCACTGGAGAAAGATGGTTGATCTCCTCCCAAGCAACTTCCTGCCTCTGAAAACCCACTGGAAGGTCAGCTATGAGTTAGGTCCGACTCACCGGAACACAAAAACTTGTTGTTATCCAAGACTGCAACTTGCTGGTTTCCAACACAGATAAATAAGAACAGTAAAGTAAACGCTGAATTGAGTTTCCATCTACACATCTAACACCATGTCCAAACCCATGCTCAGTTAATAAGAAAATAACTTACATGCTTCTCAGTGTGTTTCCTCAATTAAAGACCTCAGAAAAACCAAGCATATTTAGGGAAATTACCCATCCATTCAGAAGACTCCCCCATAGCATTGATCACTGGGCCTTGTTGCATAATCTGATAGCTGCCTTTCAACAGTCCTCCAATTTATCTTAAAAATCTTCTTATTCTGTGATTATTTCATAAGAAGATATTTCATTTCTTCAAACAGGTTTTGAATGGTTTGAATGCAGGAAATGGATTTTACACTTCTCTGGATTTCTCCTTTTTCACTCACTCATTGCTTTGCAGCTGGAACCCACTCATAGTTGACTTTCCAGCGGGTTTTCTAAGGCTGTAAATTGCACAGGAGGAGATTGCTAGTGGATTTATACAGGGAGAGGCATGGCCTTTGGGTTGGCAGGTCCCTTTATAGGTGATCAATAAAGACTTGCTTGAACTAAATGAATAATGGCCACCATGGAAGTAGTTTAGTCCATCAAGGATCTAGGTCAACAAACACTGAAGAGAATAATAATAAAAATAATAATGAAAAGCCACTGATTTCTCACTCAGGCAAGGATTTGGCAAGAAAAAAAAAGGCCTGGGAGTCTAAAAAGAATCTCATTGAGAATTGAGTAATACTTTTCACTTGATAAGGGGCAGCATTTTATGAAGCGTGCCTTGCTGAGATTCCCTCGGAGCTGTAAGCCATGTCTTTGTATTTGTCTAATTCATACATAGCTCCCTTTACCCCTCTGACCCACTCCCAGCCCCTCCTTTTATCACATAGAATGTCTCATGATACATAGACTCAAACAGTTTATAAAAGGCTCTCCATTACTTTTTTAATGGAGTGAGCGTGCGAAGAGTCAGCTCTCAAAAATAATGCTGAATTGGGATTTCTCGGCACCTCCTATCGGGGCGGCTGGTTTGACTGCATCTTAATTTAGAAACAAAGGGTTCAGCTTGGCCAAAGACTTCAAATTCGGACTGTGCGTAAGACACACTTTCTACTATACAAGAAAATGCAGTGTTGACACCAAGGAGACCACTTGAAACGCTCCACGCAAAGAAAGTTATGTCATACGGACGCCAGATCCAGCCTTCTAAAAGTATCCTTTTAGCTGCTGTCCTTTGTCGTTGTTGTTGTTAGTAGGTGCCGTCTCCTCAACAACTCCTAGTGACTCTCTGAACCACAGATCTGACCTTGCTCTTGCTCCGTCATATACCATCCCCATGCTCAAGCCCATTTTTGGCAGTAACTGTGCCAAGCCATCTTGTTGAAGCTATTCCTTTCTTTCACCAACCGGCCCCCTTTGCTAGCATGAAGTCTTTTCCCAGGGCTGGCCCCTCTGATAGCATGCCCAAAGTATGTGAGATGGAGTTTCATCATCTTGGCCTCTGAGAAGCACTCGAATTGCCCTTCTTCCAAGACAGATTCCTTCGTTCACTTGACAGTCCATTAACTCTTCATGAACACCACAACTCGAAAGGCACAATAGATTCCTAGGGAATTCCTATAGAACATGTTTAAAAGAGGGTCACAGATTGATCCCAGCCTCATCTCTGGGTCATTTCTATGACATTCTCATCCATCTTATTATCTCCTGAACCTCAAGTAAGTTTCAAAAGAAAATAGATTTCGTTCTTTCTATTTTCAGTTATACATAAAGTCCTGTCAGATTGGAAGTCGTTTCCACAGAGACTTTGGGCCAAGAATGTTAAATCTCATAGTGCAGTTCAGGAAAATGTAACTGAAAATCATTTCACTACAACTATTTTTAGTAGGCCTTAAACAAACAAGAAAGGACAAAATGACTTTAAAATATATTTTCAGGTTGGTGGAGCATCTCCAGTGTGTATTTCATTGTTATGAACGTCCCCCTTGTATGCCATGCTTTCTTTTTCTTCTCACACACCCCCCCATTTATATGAGCTGTTATCTCACTAACCGTTCTGGCACATTCATCATAGTTTTTTATATAATCAGTTTCGTACGTTCAACTGAAGCCCTCTTACCTAATGTGATAAAGATCTTCAATTTTTTTTTCTTTTCTTCTCCCTTCCTCTTTTTAAACAGTCCCTCCTTAAGGACTATCCACTTAGCTTTGTATCCAAAGACGAAATTTGTAGGTGAAAGGAGTTAGGAGTTAGCCTTCGTTACAGACGGGTTCATTTCAGGGTCGAAAATATGGAACGCTTCACGAATTTGCGTATCATCCTTGCGCAGGGGCCATGCTAATCTTCTCTGTATCGTTCCAATTGTAGTATATGTGCTGCCGAAGCGAGCACAGATCTTCAATTTTTTAAAAAGACCACCAAACTGCCTCAAACATTTCTTTTGAATTAAACTATAAATGTGCCTTTGCCAAATTTTGGAAATAACTGGTTGTCCTTGACTGATGACGTATTCAAGTTCTGAGGAACTGCTCTTGCTGTTGTTAGATGTCATGGAGTCTTCTCTGACTCATAGCAACTCCACAAACAACAGCATGGCACACTGCCCACTTCTGTGCCAGCCTCGCGCCCCTTGTTGTGCCCATTGCGGCAGGCACTAGGTTGGGCCATCTGGGTGAGGCTCTTCCTCCTTTTTGCTGACCCTTCCACTTTACCAAGCTTCATGTCCTCCAGGGACTGGGCCCTCTTGATAACATGCCCAAATTAGGTGAGATGAAGTTTTAACATCTTTGCTTTTAAGGAGCATTTTGCCTGCACTGCCTCCAAGACCGACCGATTCTCTTGGCAATCTGTATTCTTCAACAATATCACAATTCAAAGGCATAGAGTCTTTGTCAGTCTTTCTCATCATTGTCTAACATTCACATGCTTATCAGGCAACTGAAAATACTGTGAGTGGCTTAGGTGAGGTGCGCCCTAGTTCTCAAAGTGACATCCTTGCTCTTTTGCTCTTTAAAGAAGCCCTTGAAGGGAGCTCTGGTGCTGTTGTCCACAGGGAATTGCACAGATAACCTAAAGTCACATCTCACTGGCAATCTGGATGTCCCCATGGCTCCTGTGTAGAGAGAAGGGCAATCTCCTTCCTCCCTTGTGATTCTCACCTTGGAAACCCAATGGAGAGTGAGCCCTAAGGTGGTTCTGACTCTGGCAATGAGTGTGAATTTTTTTTCTTTGTTTGTAGATTAAAAACACCTATTTAAGGATTTTTTTAAATTTTCCAATTCTTAGTAACATGTATTCCTTACAACTCTGCAGCATATCATTTTCTCATGTTGTTATTCTCAGATAGTCAATCATAGATTTTCACAGCTCCAATCATAAAAGCAATAATAGTGAAAGGTTCAATTTAATGTCTAAATTTACTTACAAGGGTGTTATCTGGGAGAATCTCATCATAAGGTAGAGACTACCTGTATAGTCGAGGTGAATCTGCTGATTGGATTTGCACTTTATAAATTTATAAAACTTTATAAATCATGCCTATAATGGACCTCTTAAATTCTTCTAGAATATTATGATTTTCCTTAACTTTTACCATTTCTCTCCCATGCCATTTAAGAGGCAATTTTTCTATTAGCAATTCACTTTTTTGGGTGTGTGTGGTTTGGTTTTTTTTTTTTTTTCCAATTGACTTTTACACATCATTTGACTTAGCTGTTCTCAAATTACCAACTTTTCCCACACTTATCTCATTACTGTACACATTGTTTAACGTTGAAACAGACCTGAGAGCAGACCCCACCACTACAGTTCAGCTGAGGCACGTAGCAATGGTGGGGAGACCAAGGACCGATGAACACCAGTTAATCTCGTTAGGTGAATAAAACCAAGAACTCACCGGTTCGACAGAGGGTTGCCTCTAATTGGAATAGACTTGCTAGCGTTGACGGTTCTGATTTACCCAACTAACTAGATCGCCCAGTGTCCTTTGGTGCTTGGTAAACACCTTGAGTGAGGTTCCCGGACACCCCGACCCTCCAGAGCAGCAAGCAACCCTTCCCGGGCTGCCCTGCCATTGTTACTCACTCTAGCTGAGTTGTAGCAAACCTACAGGCGTTTGTGCCTGTCCTCAAGGCTGTTTATGCCAGTTGTACCTGTAATTATCACTAGATAACCTCAGTAAACCATGTCTTGTGTTTAATGGGGCTGCCTTTTTTCTTTTTTTTTTTTTGGGGGGGCGCCTTTTTCCCAACAAGGTAGAGTTGATCAGTTTCCACAGAGGCCAGCTGGCCTCCTCTGAAACCAAAATACTTACCATCTGGCTCTTTTAAAAAAAAATGTTTGCAGACTCAGCTCCTGCTCCTCCACAAATATCGCCTTACCATCTTCGAATTAATGTGCTTTATGGCTTTCCATTTGTGCAGGTTCTTTTGCTTCTCTTGAAGTCTGAAGTTAAGGGCACCAATGCCACAACAACATTTTGTGTGGCACCCCCCTCATCTTTATATAGTGCTGTGACTCCCAGGATTTTCAGAAGCCCATAAAACCAAGTGATGCCTCATCTCTCCCAGATGGTTAATGTAGCTTAAGGTGTGTGCTTATGGACTTGTAATCCTGCTACTGCATTTCCTTTCATACTTTCTTGAAGGCTAAAACCAATGAAGGGTGCTTCTGATCTGTGACTGAAATGCTCTCGACTGAAAAGAACTAAAGATGCTTCCACTGTATTAGAAGTCAGTGTAATGTAGTCAGTGTCCTTCCAGACAACTTGTGCCATCCAACACAAGTTGGCCTGTAGGCACGGAAAAGGTTTGAGGTGTCAACAGCATGACACCTTCTGCTTCAAGGCTATGTGTCACCATCCCCTGACCCAAGAGCATTTTTCTTGGCAGGAGTGGGCTGCTCCGGGAGGATGTGGGCACAGGCAGCGGTGGGCCCTCTGCTTCTCCCTGGCTCTCCTGCTGCTCCGTCTTCCAAGGGGTTTGGACTTAAAGAGACAAAGTGAGGTGGCATGGTCCCTGTCGTGCTGTGAGTGGGACGCGGGTGGGCATACCGAGAGGCCCCTGCTTCTGGCCTAAGATCTGCCAGTGTCTATTTCTGACACATCAGCTCTGACTTGCTGTAACCTTGTTACCCTCACCATGGCTGCCGTGTGCCATCATGTCAACCCACCTCTGCCACTCTTCCCTGCACCCAACACGGTGTCCTCCGGGTGCTGTGTCCACGCCAAGTCCCTTGGACAGTGCTCTGTAGTGAGCCCCAGGGCTTCCGGTGGCTGGTTTTCAGAAGCAGATCTCTATAGGCCTTTCTAGTCCAAGCCTGCCTGCTGTGGGTGACCCTGCTGGCATGTGACCAGCAGCCCAGCTCTCAGCGTCACGGCCACACACGGGCCACCACAGCAGGACACTCATGGATGGGTGGGCCAGGGCGCAACTTGAGCGATGCCTACACCTGCTGTACATGCCACATTCTCTCCCGGTGCAGGGACAGTTGACGGAGTCTCAAACAGCTCTGCTGGGCAAGACTCAGAAAGGAACCACCAGAATAGGAGAGTGGACCCTGAGATTTTTAAGAGGTGCCTGGAAATCCTAGTTCATCTGCTCTCACCTCCCTAAGAATAGATCCCCTCTCCCTTTGGACCTCATGAAAAAACCCACTGCTGTCCCTTGGTGAATTTCCACCATTGCCTTTTGGGTTAGGAGTTTCACATTATGCATGATGAGTCTCAGAAACCCAATGGAGAGGGTCGTGAGTTCGAGCCAATTCCACAGCAGTGGGTGGGGGCCTTTATGGAAGCGGAACGCTGGAACCTTCTTCTACAGAGGCGCCAGATGAGCTCAAGCTGCTGACCTTTCTGTTACTGTAGCTGCATCCCTTCACCTCGCGAGATGGGGTGCACGGGCCCCGACCCTGTGGAGCATGTCAGCCCACACAGCTGTGCCTGGGTCTGTCCAGGGACCATAGTAAAATAGCTGGCGATCTAAGTGGTATTCATGTTCTTCCCTCCCCAACCCCCGGGGCACCCCTATGCTAGAATCTGGAGTGGCTGGTGGGGAAAAGGAGATGTAACCCTCACCTCAAACCCACAGAAGGTGCCCCACCGGCCAGCCCCTTCAGGAGTTTACAATTGTATTGAACCCAAAGGAGCAGACCCCTCACTTACCAATATACACATTTCCAGCTATGGTATAAATGAAGCTGGTCCACCCTGAAAAGAAATCGGCAACATGACAAGATTAGCATCTGGGACATGAAAAGGAGCATCAAACCAACCAACCAAGCCCCAACTAAACACGCTGCCGGCCAGTCCACTCTGACTTGTGACCGTCCTTGAGTGTAACAGCGTAGTATTGAGCCCTATAGGGTTTTCGTGGCTGCGATCTTGATAGAGAGGAGCCCTGGTGGTATAGTGAGTGTATAATCGAAAGGCTGGCAGTTCAAATCCCCTAGCTGATCTGCAGGAGAAAGATGGGCAGTCTCCTAATGTAAAGAATTACAGTCTAATGGAAGACCTAATGGAAGGACTTTACGCTACAGAGTTGCTGGGTGGATTCAAACTGCCAACCTTTCTGTGAGTAGTCAACCACAAACCATTCATGCCCCCCTCAAGACCCACAGAAAAGAACAAAGAATATCTTGTTTGCCTGAAACATAAAGCAGGTGTAGAAGGTGAGCACCACCACCACCAAAGTACATGCTCCTTAGAACAAGCTATACAAGATCAAAAAGAGGCAGCCTTTGCCCAGGGAGAAAGCGCAGAAGGTGAGCAAGTATAGGAGAAAAGGACAAATGGAAAGAGAAAACACAGAGCTGAACTGGGAAGAGTGCTGTTGTTCTCTTGTGGGGCCTGCAATCAATGTCAGGAAGCAGAATGTGCGTGAATCACTGAGCAAAAAACCGATTTGCTCTGAAAACTTTCACCCAAATTACAAGAAAACTTTTTCTTTTTATGATGGAATAGAAAAGATATCATTTGGAGGAGAAATCCTTTTCTTTTTAATATATTTTTAAAAATTTAAGTTCTTTGAGCTGTCTCCTCCCCCACTCAATGTGTATCCATGTCTGTCTGTCTGTCTCTGTCTCTCCCCCACTTCAACATGCAGACACATACTCATTCCAAAACCTAAATACCTTGGCCCCAAACGTTTAAGCACCAAACAAAGCAAACAGTCTACAATTGACAGGGTCAGATGCACATTGGCCATTAACCACAGGACGCCAGTCTGGCTTTGTCTTCAGTTCACTGAGCTTCAAAATAGTTTTAAATGTTAAGATAATGCTAAGAACATGTCTGTCTCTACATAATTGCATTTTTGTTCTCAGTGAGCTCATTCTCAGAACACTGGCTCCCAAGTTGCAAGGATCTATGATCTTGGCAGGCACAATGGGACTCTCTGGAATGATCCACACAATTTTTCAAGTCTCTTAAGTCTTTCTAGGAAGAGGGTGCATGAGAATCAGCAGGTTCTTACCATGATACAGGGGCGCTGAGAGTTCAGAATCCCCCACAACTTCCCCTTTGCAATCTTAACCCCTATACTCAGTTTTCAGAGGTGTTGGCACAGTGGGTTCCTGGCCCAGAGCAGACGCTGTGCTTCTACCAAGAGACACAGCCCTGGATATCAGGATGTCACTTCTTGTACCACCAGTGGATGAGGAGAAGCTCTGGGAATGGAATGCGGGCAGAGTATAAGGCTGGGTTGGGGTCTGTCTAAAAGTTAACTTGGAGACTCAGCTCACTTACTGCCCTGGAGTAGGAATTGACCTATAGCTCACTCTCCACTGGGTTTCTGAGGTGTGAGGAAATTGCCTATCTTTTTTTTTTTGTGGAATCATTGGTGGATTCGAACCCCTAGAGAGGTGTGGCCTTTGGGTGAGCAATGCAGCTTCCTACGGAAGTAGGAAGTGCTACCACTTAGAGACAGAACTAAGGCAAGTGAGAAGGAGCAGTGTGGGGGGGACTATATACCAATGAAAGAATGTTTCTTTTACTTTTCAGAGAGAAGAGCAAAATGAGGGGAGCAATGAATGAATGGAAGTCCAAAGTCTCTGTAAACGTTCATTAAAATTTTTAAAATATATATAATATAAAAAAGGAGCAGTGAGGACAAATCTAAGGATATGGCTTTGGTGGCAGCTGGCTTGAAATGTACAAGGAAAGCACGTAGGATAAGACAACAGATCCAATCTAATAGCAACTGAGTGTGATTGAGAAAGTGCATAGGAGGGCAGACTGACCACACACACACACACACACACACTTGAGTGGGGACCAGAGGATGTGCCATCACCCTCTATAAGACTTTACCGGACTGGTTTACATCCTCTACGAGTAATGCTGTTTGCTCATAGCTCATGCATTAAACCACTTATTAAAGCACTCCACTGGGACGTCCGCCATCATTTGTTGAACAGATACGGGTGCACAAGGTGCCATCTAGCTCGTTCTGATCTTCGGCACCACTGCCCAACCTCGCACCACAGCAGCCTCTGTGTCTCCTTGAGGGACTTCCTCTTTTTTCACTGACCCTCTATTTTCCTAGCATGTTGTGCTTCTCTGTGTCTCCTTGAGGGACTTCCTCTTTTTTTCACTGACCCTCTATTTTCCTAGCATGTTGTGCTTCTCTAAGGCCCAGCCCATCCTGATGACATTTCCAAAGCACATGAGCTGAAGTCTCCCCATCCTTGCCTCCAAGGAGCCTCCTAGTTGGGCTTCCTCCAGGACAGACTTGTTTATCCTCCTGGCAGTCCAAGGCCCAGTCAATGGAATTCTCCAACCTTGGGCTGATAACGAAATTGAACTCTGCAATAAAAACCCCTTTCTTCTCTGCTTTTGTCAACAACTTACCAAAACAAAACAATGGTAAAAAAACCTAGTTGCTATCAAGTCAATCCCGACTCACAGCGCCCCCTGTACGTATGAGAGGAGAATTGTACATCATGGGCCTTCCAGTGGCTTCACTGACCGTGGTCTTTTAGAGCTAAAAGGCCAGCCTTAGTCACTGAGAATTGTTTGCGCTACTTTCTCAAAGTGCCAGGGAATTTGCACTTTTGGGAGGATCCCCCCCTCTCATTTCTGTGCTGTATATTATTTGCTTAAAAACTAGGACAAACAAAATGTCCTATCTTGGATACCTTTCCATGTCAAAACAGAAGAGATGTAACTCATCCTTGGAAGAGTCGACAGCATTCCATTGTAAGGACGTATAATCATTTATATAGCCAGCTCCCTCCTCGGAGTTGAATGATATTAATAAAATGGCTGTTTCTCTGCTTGCTAAAACCCTCCCTGCAATTGACTAATGAACTGCATTTTTATTGGGAGGGTTCTGATAGTGCGAATCCCACTTCTCCTCCACTCCTTTGGCTTCCAAGCCACTCTGCAGGCAGCAAACTAGCCCACACAGAACTAGTTCGACCTGCCACTTTCCCTTTTTATCATTTTACGTGATTCAGAAGGAACTAAGATTTGCTTAAGAGAATGATCCAGAAGGAAGAACAGTAAACCCCCTACTGCTGTCGAGATGATAACAACTCATAGCAACCTGGAGGCACAGAGGTAGAGTTACCCTCGAGGGTTCCTAAGGCTGAATATCTTTACAGAAGTACACTGTCTCATCTCTTGTTCCTGATGGTAAATGCACACCACCAACCTTCCAATGAAAAGGCCAAGGCTTAATCCACTACATCACGGTTGTTGTTATTAAGTGCTGTCAAGTTGAGTACAATTCATAATAACTCTATGAACAAGAGATCTGAACCTTGTCCTATCCTTCGCCATTGTCACCATCTCTGTCACACTCAAGCCCATTGTTGCAGTCACTGTGTCGATCCATCTTATTGAGGGTTTTCCTTTCCTCCTCTGATCCTCTGCCTCTCTCAGCATGCTGTCTGTCTACAAGGACTGGCCGTCTTGACGATATGTGAGTGAGACGAAGTTTCACTTTTCACTCTCCTTGACTCTCAGGAGCATCCAGGTTGCACTTCCTCCAGGCAGTTGTTGTTAAGTGACTCTTAGTGACCCTATGCACAACTCGTCTGAACACCATCCTAGCCCATGCCATCCTTACAGTCAAGCCTATTGGGATAGGCTTGTTTGTTTATTCTTTTGGCAGTCCATGGGATATACAGTACTCTTCTCCAACACCACAGTTCAAAAACAGCAATCCTTCTTTGATCATCCTGATTTAATTGTCCAACTTTCAGATGCATAGGAAGCAACTGAAAATCCCATGGCTCGGATCAGATGCATTTTAGGCTCTAATCTGCCATAATTGCCCTTTCACACTTCGGAGTGATCCCTGACAGCAGATTTACCCAATGCAACACATCTTTTGATTTCTTGACTACTACTATAATGAATGTCAGTGGTCGATCTAAGTAAAATGGAATCATTGGCCACTTCAGTCATTTCTCCGCCTATCATAATATTTCCCAGAGGAGAGAATGTTTATTTTCTTGACGTTGAGATGCAATCCATATGGAGGGCTGTAGTCTTGAATGTTCTGCAGCAAGCATCTCAAGTCTTTTTCACTTTCTGTAAGCAACGTTGTGTCACTTACATAATGCGGTTTGTTGAAGAGTTTTTCTCCAATCCTGATGCCACTTTCTTCTTTATCTGGTACAACTTCTCAAGTGATTTGCTCAGCATACAGGTGAATAGGTCTGGAGAAAGGATGCTGTCCTGAAGCACACCTTTCTTGATTTTGAACCATGTAGCATTTCCTTGCTATATATGGGCAACTGCTTCTTGGTCTATACAGGTTATGCATGAGCACAATTAAGTGTTTTGGGATTCTTATTCTTCTCCCCTCCCCCTGTTTTTTTTTTAGTGTTATCCAAAATTTTTTATGATCTACACAGTTGAATGCTTTTGGGTAGGTCAATAAAACACAAGTAAACATCTTTCTGGTATTCTCTTCTCTCAGCCAAGATCTATCTGATATCAACAATGATAACTCTCATTCCATGACCTCTTCTGAATCCTACTTGAATCCTACTTGAATTTCTGGCCATTCTTTTTGATGTACTGTTGATGTACCACTAAGAATCCTTGGAAGGAACAAAGATTTCCTTAAAGGAATGGCCAGACCAAATTATACAGTGCATTCTTTATATTATATTATAACCTGATGAAAATATTCCATCAGGATGTAGTGTTCTTCTGGGCCAGTAAGAAGGCAAAACATCCGCCAAGAATGCAGAAAA